CATCATTTGAGATTTATTTAAAATAGGGATTCCCCAGTAGTTTGAAAAATTACAAATACTCTATTGTAAAAAAAATAAAATTTCAAACTACTCTATTGTACAATAATAAAATTAGCTGAATTATTAATTAAAATATATTTATAATATCATTAAAAAATATTAATTGAATTAATAATTTATTGATAAAATGATCATTTGTTATGAAATTATAAACTTCAAGGGGTCGTAATCATTATCAAAGAGATCACATTACCATTGAACATTTTTTCTGGTTGATATTTTTATAGTCACATGTGATACCTAATCACAAGAATTAAAAAAACCGATGTAAGGAGGATGTGATAAAATTATTTGCTCTTAGTTATGCTGCAGATCCTGTGGATAGTTATAGGTTTTTCAAAATTAAAAATATTTGCAAAGGTTGCAAATAAATTAAAGTTCCATTTGAAATTTTAATTGTAAAATTATGAGATTGACATTCTAGACCTCTCAAGTTTTAAAAACTGTTAATTACTTTTTAATTAAGCCAATTGTATGTGAAAACGAAAAAGTTAACAATTTATCTTCTCATTATTGGATTGATTTGTCTTATTTTAACTCTGTTTCTATATTGATAATAAAACGCACATTTTAAACAATGAAAATTATCAAAACTAAATTGCACAAATAACAATTTTGCAAAATTGATAGTGCTCCAAGTGCAAAATTGATGATAGTGCTCAGAGTCAAAATCAGAACACTGGTGATTAGTCCTTTGACAATAAAAAAAATTATTCCATATTACGTGTGACATTATTACAAATCAATCTATGTTATTTATTTGCGTAGGATTAGTGCTCAATGCTCCTGATAGCTTAGCTTCAATGGATTTTGGCTCAATACTCATCTTGAACTCCCAATTAGATAGAAATAATTTTATCTATATCCAGACTGAGGTCCTCCCCCATTCTAAGACTCGTCCCTTATCCGCTCATCTCAAATTCCGATATCTCCAAATATAACCTCGGCCTAGCCGAGATCATCTCGCACATGACCAAGCCACATGACACTCTGGCTAACACGTCGGCGTCACCTCGGCTACGTGCTGTAATTCACAAAATATACCCCCACAAAGAGGAACAATACCTTTAATAGTTGTTATAGTAATGTTTGGATGTCTGTCAACCACAACATTACGGCACAGCCGTGTAAAACTTAATCCCAATTTTTTCATATGTAAATTTTCTCATATGTAATAATAATTTTTTTTTCATAAGAACTTGCCACTTTTTGGCAATTTCCTTTTATTATTATTATAGGTAGACTTGACTTTTCCCGGTGGACCATAAATCACAGATGCAAAGTCGAATTATCTGCTACAAATTACCAATTGTGTTGGTGCATTTTAATAGTTAGAGCAAATTATAAATATATTTATTGGGATATATTTAAAATATTAATTGTGTGTGATAATTTTGAAAATTATGTTGTGTGTTTTTAAATTCTTAATTGCATAATAGATGACTTCTTTTGTTAATAAATTATTAAGTTATAAATAATTTTCAATGATGTCAGAAATATATTTCAATTAGTATTTTTAGTAATTTTATAATTATATAGGAGGGTAGTTAGAAATTGCTCTTTTTATATTAATTTTGTTAAATGACAAATTGTAACGGGAAGTATTTCTAATTTTTAAAATTACAAAGAACAATATATATTTTAAGAAAATCTCAAAACCAATTTAGATTAAAGAAACATGATCCGCTGTGCCCCTCACGAGCCGAAAAGCACCTTTTAGACTGTGGGAAGCCTGACCCTTATATAAAATAGGGTTGGGCTTTTTTTTCTAACCTGGAGAAGTATGTTGTTTAGGCCCATGGAAATCCCCAAGCATCCCGTTTTCCAATGATCCAAATCATTTATTTTATGAAATCTTTCATGTATATCATTCGCACGAAAAAATTAAGTTAATTTGATAATCATAATATGATTAATTTATCCTTATTTTTTTTTTATTTTTTATTTTTTTTTTAAACAGATAGACGATAAGTATGTTTTTGAAAATAGACTTTGGTGACAAACACAATATATTGAACAAATTATGATTATCAAATCGACCTAACTTTTTGTGTAGATGATATACATGAGTGCACTTACAAAATGAACAATTCATATCATCAAAACGGAACCTATAGTGAACCTCACAGACCCGAACTTTAAGAATTTATAAAATCTATATATATCAAGAATTAAAACGCCATAATAATATAATTAAAACAAAACAGTTAAAATAGATTTAAATACATACTATTTAATCTCGTCATCGCCATGAGATATTAAGGAATGGTATTCACAATTGAAAAACCCTAGCATTAGCTCTTCCCCTCGTTATCTTTACGTTGTCTTTCAATGGGACTGATAATCCTTTGATCTACATATATATAAATATATGTGAACTCTAATAGGATAGGAGAGAAGATCGGGCCTAAATAAAACAATTATTGGGCCCTCGCATAAAGGAATCCAAATAACTTAAAATAGTCCTTATACCTTCGTACCACATATAAAATAATAAACACACTAAGATGGACTATGGCCCAAAATTTTATGAAGCCCAAAATTTTATGGATCACAATACCAATTTTGTTCTCGTATCAGTCAATCTATCTAAATTACTCTCAACTTGTTTTTCACAGTCAACTTGTTTTTCACAAACCAAACAAAGTATAGTCAATGATTTCCTAATTAAGAATAAATTCTTACACGAACAACACCCTTCAATTCAAGATCAAAACTCGAGAGAAGCTAGACCTATAAAATAATTTTAGTTTATATCAGATGGTAGAATCTATTATATAGTACTGCCTGACTCAAATTACTTTACCTATATTTTATGTAATTAATTATTTGTAATTTTTTTTTAGTCTGTTGACTTGTTAGTGCAAATTGTCGTTTTGATGTATAATAATGGAGTTTTCAATCCATCCATAATTCACAACATTAATCCGTCGTGCAAAGAGGGCAAGAAAATCATACCTAAATGTTTATGCTGCCCTGCCCCAGTAGACTTGGCTTTGATTATTCAAATTTGGACTTTTATATGCCTCCAACACCCCACTTTTTGAATATGTGCACCATACATTATACATAAAAGATTGGGGAAACTGACGTATCAGTGTATTTTTTTTTAAAAAAAAAAAAATCAAATTAATGAAAAACTTTAGAGTAAATTACAATACATCATTTGAGATTTATTTAAAATAGGGATTCCCCAGTAGTTTAAAAAATTACAAATACTCTATTGTAAAAAAAATAAAATTTCAAACTACTCTATTGTACAATAATAAAATTAGCTGAATTGTTAATTGAAATATATTTATAATATCATTAAAAATTATTAATTGAATTAATAAATTATTGATAAAAGGATCATTTGTTATGAAATTATAAATTTCAATGGGTCGTAATTGTCATCAAAGAGACCACATTACCATTGAACATTTTTTCTGGTTGATATTTTTGTAGTCACATGTGATACCTAATAACAAGAATTAAAAAAACCGATGTAAGGAGGATGTGATAAAATTATTTGTTCTTAGTTATGCTGTAGATCCTGTGGATAGTTATAGGCTTTTCAAAATTAAAAATATTTGCAATGGTTGCAAATAAATTAAAGTTCCATTTGAAATTTTAGTTGTAAAATTATGAGATTGACATTCTAGACATCTCAAGTTTTAAAAACTGTTAATAATTTTTTAATTATGCCAAGTGTATGTGAAAACGAAAAAGTTAACAATTTATCTTCTCAATATTAGATTGATTCGTCTTGTTTTAACTCTGTTTCTATATTAATAATAAAACCACATTTTAAACAATGAAAATTATCAAAACTAAATTGCAGAAATAACAATTTTGCAAAGTTGATAGTGCTCCAAGTGCAAAATTGATGATAGTGCTCAGAGTCAAAATCAAAACACTGGTGATTAGTCCTTTGACAATAAAAAAATTATTCCATATTTGTGTGACATTATTACAAATCAATCCAAGTTATTTATTTGTGTAGCATCAGAACCGGTTCTGTCATTTTGGTAGTCCAAATAAACTCTTGACATGGGGTCTTGCATACATTAAAAGAAAATTTATGATCAAAAGATTATATATTTAATCAAACAAATAAAAAAAAGTAAAATGATTCAAGCTGAAGTGCTAAATAAAAAGTGAATTAATTGTACACTTAAATATCAACCTTCTCATATTTTTAACTATAAAATTGCTAATCAAACTTGTATAATTCAACTTATTAATTAAATTATTTTTAATGGATTAAATTGCCAATACATTCGATTTTTCTAGTGACACGGTTAATTGAATTTTAAATTTGAAAAATTCTTTTTCCATAAACAACTGTAACTAATATAATTAATCGTGTTTTACACACAATCCATGTATTTGGAAAATAATCATCCATTAATTTAAAATAATTCACCATATCAATTGACTTTTTTAGCTTTTGTCAATAAAAACAATCATCTATTTGTTTTAAATAATTTACCACAACAATCGACTTTTAATTTTAAATTTTCAGCAAATTTTGTCAGGGCTCTTCAAATTTAAGTGGATTTTTTTTCTTTTTGTGAATTAGTATGATAGCTAAAAAAAATGAGGGTCTTTTTATGTTCAATTTTTGGGAGCTCAAAGCAACGATTTTGCCGACTTTGGGCCAAAACGACTGTGTGAGACTCATATAGATCCATGCAAATAAATAGTTTGGATTGATAATGAATTTACCAGAGGTTGGCCATTGGTTCAATAGTTAAAACTTGACCTAATAACCTTGAGGTTATGGGTTTTAAGTCTTGGAACCATCACTTTGGCCATGTTTGTTTGGCGGATTAGATTGGATGGGATTGGTAGTGAGGAGATAGTTAGTGAAAAGATTGTTAATGTGTGGATTACTAGCGAGGAGATTAGATGAAAGTGTGTTTGTTTTGATGATATATAGTGTTGGGATTGTTAAAAAAAAATTTATAAAAAATCTAAAAAAATAATTTCTATATTAAAAAAAAAATCAAAAACAAATATAAATTTTTCTTTTTAAAAATAACAGATTACAATTGCAAAAAAAAAAAAGTGCATTGTTCTGGTCAACTGGCCGAACGTCCAGGAAAATGTCCAAGCAGATGATTGGATAGACCCAATTTGCTCACTATTTTCCTAATCCCATGCTTTTCTCAGCCAAGCTAATCCCCCTGCAAATGGGGATTACTAAGTCGCTCATACTAGCAAGCTGATGTCCCAAATCAACACCAAATGTGCTGTGGGTGGGACCCACAACCATATATCCTACTCCATGCAGCGGCCAAACAAATGGGGCCTTTGCGTATTATGCCAAAGATTAGGTGTGTATTCAATCTTTTTCCTCCTAAACACATATTAATATATACTAATTAAGCGTTATTTATTTATTTTATTTTTTTTGTTGACAATGAATTTACCACATAATGTCTTTTAGAGTAAAATTTGTTCTAGAAGGGAACATTCCAATAGAAAATGATTACACAGGTAGACAAACAAAAGTATCATGACTTACACCATTCAATTGCTCATCCAATAACAACACTAATTTGTGGTGCACTATTGGGGAAAAAATCTTCATAATGTGCGTGTGGACTTAGACTTTGGCAGCCCTGTTGTTATAGACATTTAATGGGGCACAAAATTTTCTATACATCCATCAAATAATTGAATTTTTTTTTTTTTTTCGATTTTACCTATAAGCATTATTCACCATGTTTGGCTTGGTTTTTTTGAGTTGTTTTTCTAAAAGTGATTTGAAAATTATGTTTTGAAAATGAATATATGTTTGGTTTTCAAAAAAATGCACTATTGCAATTTGAAATTTCCCTCCAAAAGTTGAGAGAGGACTGACAATAAAAAAAAAATTTGTCACATCAAAAGTTGTACCATGTTTGTTTTTATGCATATAAATACATGATATATATGTATCAAAATATAATTTGGTATGTACCTATTTATGGATGACTATCCTACCATGATGTATGTGAATTTATCATAAAATTTCGTAAAATTAACCATAAAATACGTAATTTCGTCACAAATTTGTGTATATTTTCTTGCTGTGACGAAGTTACACGTACGTGTCAACGTTTCGAAATTTTGTGAGAAAATAAATTTTCTGAATAACATTTAAAAAAATTTATACATGTAATTTTTAAATGCTTACAACGTAATTTTCAAGTTCGTGAAGTTCATAACTTTGTATTTGCAATCTGTTTTCATTAATTGTTGAAGTTTATATAATTTTTACTTTACATTTAAAATTGTACATGTATGTTAAAAAAAAAAATTATAGAAGGAAAAAATATCTACAGCAGTCCCTTCTCTCTTGTCCCATCTGTTACTACACCTTAAGCTGAAGTTGTTAGAAAGAGAGGCAACTTCTCTGATACCATAATTATTAATCACTTAGAAAAAAATCATAATTTTATTATTTATATTATCAACAATGCTAGAGGGCCACAATTTTTGTGGCCACAATGGCTCAAAACTGTCAAAACGACATCGTTTTGACATGTTTTGCACTCAAAACGACGTCGTTTTGACAGTTTTGAGCCATTGTGGTCACAAAAATTGTGGCCCTCTAGCATTGTTGATAATATAAATACAACAATGATAGAGGGCCCTAATTTTTGTGGCTCAAATGGCTCGAATTTGCCAAAACGACGTCGTTTTGAGTGCAAAACATGTCAAAACGATGTCGTTTTGACAGTTTTGAGCCATTGTGGTCACAAAAATTGTGGCCCTCTAGCATTGTTGATAATATAAATACAACAATGATAGAGGGCCCTAATTTTTGTGGCTCAAATGGCTCGAATTTGCCAAAACGACGTCGTTTTGAGTGCAAAACATGTCAAAACGATGTCGTTTTGACAGTTTTGAGCCATTGTGGTCACAAAAATTGTGGCCCTCTAGCATTGTTGATAATATAAATACAACAATGATAGAGGGCCCTAATTTTTGTGGCTCAAATGGCTCGAATTTGCCAAAACGACGTCGTTTTGAGTGCAAAACATGTCAAAACGATGTCGTTTTGACAGTTTTGAGCCATTGTGGTCACAAAAATTGTGGCCCTCTAGCATTGTTGATAATATAAATACAACAATGATAGAGGGCCCTAATTTTTGTGGCTCAAATGGCTCGAATTTGCCAAAACGACGTCGTTTTGAGTGCAAAACATGTCAAAACGATGTCGTTTTGACAGTTTTGAGCCATTGTGGTCACAAAAATTGTGGCCCTCTAGCATTGTTGATAATATAAATACAACAATGATAGAGGGCCCTAATTTTTGTGGCTCAAATGGCTCGAATTTGCCAAAACGACGTCGTTTTGAGTGCAAAACATGTCAAAACGATGTCGTTTTGACAGTTTTGAGCCATTGTAAGCACAAAAATTGTGGCCTTCTAACATTCTTGAGTCCGGCCAAAAGTGCCTCATACTCGGCCTCATTGTTGGATGCTGGGAAGCCAAGGGTGATAGAATGTTCAATAGTTAGGCCATCCGGCAAGATAAGAACGATACCTAGCCCGGCACCGTGACAGTTCGACGCTCCATCAACGAAAAGTTTCCACATCTCCCCCACAAAGAGCTTCCAACATTCTGAAGGGTCTTGAGAGTTTCGAAGGTTGATGAGATCACGGTTGTTCGGCTGTTCGGTTGCACGTTCTGTGCCGACTGGTTCCACATCAGCCCTCCTTGGTGATTCGGCATCGGACTCGGCAAGTTGATCTACAATGCCCAAGTCCGTAGGCGAATCTCCAGGTTGCGGTATTATGTCGGCCGCAGGCTCTGTGCTGAGTGCTTCCACTTCTCCCCCCTTGGTGATTCGGCACCGGACTCGGCAAGTTGATCTACAATGCCCAAGTCCGTAGACGAATCTCCAGGTTGCGGTATTATGCTGGCCGCAGGCTCTGTGCTGAGTGCCTCCACTTCTTCCCCTCTTTGTGATACGGTACCGGACAGAGCAGGTTGGACGGTGATTCCCAATTCCATTATCGCATCACCGTGCGGTGGATTTGTACAAACTGAGGGTGTGCTGGAGGGGCACGCAAAGTTCGCGTCGCCAACTCTACCAAGTTGTCGTGTCTCGGTTATGCTTGTGTTCACCTCATCGTCTGCTACGGCAATGTCGACCAGGCACACCGAATGAGTTCCATGTGAGAATTCCGCAACAAAATCGGCCAAGGTCTGGGCTTTTATAGCAGTGCGCTGCTGGAACTTAACATCAAATTGACCAAATTCGACCGCCCACTTGAGAATTCGGCCAGAGAAGTCTGCCTGTTCAAACAAGGCCTTAAAGGGGAATTCGGTCAGAACGATGATGGTATGGGCGTGAAAATAGTGCGCTAACTTCCTTGAAGCCATCATCAATACTAACGCAAGCTTTTCCAATGGCAAGTATCTCGACTCTGCCAGTAGCAAGGTCTTACTGATGTAGAAGATTGGGAGGTGCTTAATTCCTTCAACTCGGACAAGCACCGCGCTGACTGCATGTTGTGAGACGGCAAGGTAAAGATAGAGTTCCTCGCCTGGCTTTGATGTAACCAACAGTGGCGGAGAAGACAGATACTCCTTGAGCTCGGCTAAAGCTCGGTCACAATCTTCGTCACATGAGAACTTTGATTTCAATGCCTGAAAGAAAGGGCGGCAGCGATCTGATGATCGGCTTATAAATCGATTAAGCGCGGTGGCCATCCCGGCCAGATGCTGCACGTCCTTAGTCGAGCTGGGCTGCTTCAAATCTTGCACGGCACTGATCTGAGTGGGGTCTGCTTCGATGCCTCGGTTCGTGACTAGGAATCCCAAAAATAAAAAATTAAATGTGTAAATGATATATAGAAACAAAATTTATGTATAATTTTTGGACTTGGTTTCTCTCAAGTTATCACATGAATTTAAGAGAGCGTTTGGACTTGGTAAGTCCATTTTGAAATCGATTCCGATGATCCGAACCATTCACTTATTAAAACTCGGTGAGTAGAATATTCATGCAAAAAATTAAGATGGTTGGATATCGGTAACTATATATTTGAATCATATTTATTTTTAAAATAATGAACAACAAATATAATTTCAAAAATAACCATATATGTTTTGTAATATAAATTTGATTCAAACATATCGCTGCTGATATCTGATTATCTTAATTTTTTACATGAATATTCTATTCAACGAGTCCTAAAAAGTGAATGGTTTGGATCATTGAAATGGAATTTATGGTGGACTCCACGGATCCCTCAAATTCTCTCATATTAAGATCCCAACATGAGATAAACTCAACCCATAATTTTTATATAAAATGATGTGTCTTATTTGTATTCATTAATCAAATATTAAAATAGCCGTCAATATAGTTTATAATTGCAAGAGTGGCATTACACATTATTTTTATCTTAAATTCTATATAGAACATTATGCATAAATATTATTTTGCAAATTAAGGCATTATTTGAGTTAAGATCATAACCCTTTAATTTTTTAATTGGATTTGAAATAAAAATCCTAGCTCTGTCCACCATTTAAATTTGAGCTAAGATCATAAATACATATCAGTCATGTGTTTTTTTTATCGGCAAATATTAGTTGTTAGATTAGCCAATTATGGGAGAAAATCTCATCATCTTTGGCAAAGCACCTAAACGCTTACTAGGAATTAAACCCTAAGGAAGGTTTGGTTACCAACTAGACTAGGCCTAGTTGGTTTACATGACAGTCACGTTTTATATAATTCCAAAAAACACTCTCAAGGTTTGAGCCTTTTAATAAAATAAATTTTGAGTATTTAATTTTGTTAATTTAAATACTAACATTTTGATTTTTTTAATTTAAACCATTCATCTATCTTTATCAAGTAAAATCAATGGGAAAAAAAAAGTATTTTAGTCATTAAACTCAATATAAGTATACATAAAATATCATAAATGTCATTTTACTAAAATATTATATTTTTTAGTTGATTTTACTTAATAAAAAAAGACAAATATTTACATTGAAAACAAATCAAAAATTGAGAGTTTAAATTGGCAAAATTAAAAGTTTAGTGTTTATAAGGGTCAAACTTCGGAATTTGTTTTTGTAATTGTCCTAATATTTTATTACATGTAAGTCGGACCTTTAACACAAACCCAAAACTCAATATAATAATATATTTTTTTATGTTATGTGACAGCATGTCGTGACATTTTTCATCTAATTTTGATGTCACGCCCCGGATTTACGCGATCTAGCTCACGTGAATAAACCACCCAACGATAACAGTAGATAACAGCTCTCATGCAGATGTATATAATATAGTCACACAAAATATGTGTTTATCCGATTTCATACATTCCTAAATACAACATCTAAGTTGAATGGATGTTCTGTAACTAAAACATACACAGATGTTATAAATTAATTGAACACCCAGAGCAAAGAATTGTTCCTCCGTTTCTGCTTCGCCAAGTATTCCCCTCCAGAGTTTGCCTCTGTTTTTCGAGGGACTTTTCCCCTTAGATGAGAATTCTCCCCATTCGACGAACCCGCCCCTTTTCTGTATATACTGTCGACTTGCTGTTGGCGAGGTGAGTTTTTCTATATTTGGATGGTAGATCCTCCCGTTGGTTCCAGTTATCAAAACCTTTCGTTTATTCAAAACGTTTTCCGAGGTCAAAACATCAGTTTTGTTAGGTTTTTGTTATTGGCAATCCCGTTTGACAAAACTCCTTTCAGTTATAATTTTATTCGCTCTTTTATTTCAGTGAGGCTACGAGTGTTTAAATACGAATCCAACCCGAATTGTGCCTATGCAGAGGAGTTTGTAATCTTAATCCTATCGTGTTTGCCACTTCGCTGAGTATGTCGGGGATCGCGACTTTTCAGAAGTTTCACTTGCCTACAAAAGTACTTGGAGTTGGGATTTTGCGCTCGAGCGAACTTTCCTGCGCTCAAGCGGCCATTCCTGCGCTCGAGCAGAGATCGTGGCCCTATTTTCATTTGGAGCTGCTTTGCTAGTTTTTTTGATGTTTCTTTGAGTTGATCTCATGGTTTGAAAAGTATACATAAAAGGATTGTTTGTTTTATTCAAGACAAAATGAGAGTTGTTCTTCGGTGGTCTCTGGGGAATTCGAGCCCGAAGCTTTGGTGGATTCTGGAGTGGTTCATCGTCGTGGATTCGACATCAGCATTGTGGATTCAACGTTGGGCAAGACAATTCCGAGGTGAAGACGGGGCTGAATGAGGCACATAGGGGTTTTTTCAATTCGAGCGTAGATTCGCTAGGTAATTGAGAGTACACTTGTGTAATTCCTTTATGTCTTCTTAGTGGATTGTTTTATGGCTTTTGCCCATGGTTTTTTTTTTTTATCACAATTGGAGGTGCTCCAATTGTAGTTTTTTCACGTAAAATCGTTGTGTCGATTTGTCTTTGATTGTTTGATTGGGATTGCTTTTTACTGGTTAAAATTGATACATAATCACAAATCAATATCTACGGGATTTCTAAATTTTTCAAATTTGATATAAAATCCCTTTCCAAAACCACTCCAGGCATCTCAATACCAACCAACAAATACATTGCCAAATCAAATGTGAATACATCGCTAAGCAACGGCAAATACATTGCTAAAACATTTTCAAAACATCTTGTTCCAAAATCAAAACGATAATAAATAAAATGGGTAAATCTCCAGGGATAATGTTCATACGAGTAACTATACAAGTCACAAGGTCATTTTTACCAGTACTCACCGGAAGGCTCGACACCTACCACGCGGGTTTAGGTCTTGCACCATGGACACACAGGCCAACTTAATTCTGCTTTAACACCCCCTTACAGCTTTACCACTTTATTTACCCTTTTCAATACAATACATGTGATCCAAAATATGGTTTTCAAAATGAAACAAATGTTCTTAAAACATATTATGAGAATTTCCAAAACAACCTTTTCGAAAATACACAGTTCCGGTTCCAAAATCCATTTAAAAATCCATAACATGCACATGACATGGATGATTTTATAACATTCTGGTTTGCCTAGTTCACATACAATTTCTAACACACAGCAATGCTATCCTCCACCGATAGCCAAAACAGTTATCTCTAATGTAATAATTAGAAGGTAAAACAGATGCAGATATACAATCCAATATCCCAAACTGCATTTATCAATATCTCTCAATAACCCAATATTTTCCAAAAAGGGTAACTTACAGCTTTACCACTTTATTTACCCTTTTCAATACAATACATGTGATCCAAAATATGGTTTTCAAAATGAAACAAATGTTCTTAAAACATATTACGAGGATTTCCAAAACAACCTTTTCGAAAATACACAGTTCTAGTTCCAAAATCCATTTAAAAATCCATAACATGCACATGACATGGATGATTTTATAACATTCTGGTTTGCCTAGTCCACATACAATTTCTAACACACAGCAATGCTATCCTCCACCGATAGCCAAAACAGTTATCTCTAATGTAATAATTAGAAGGTAAAACAGATGCAGATATACAATCCAATATCCCAAACTGCATTTATCAATATCTCTCAATAACCCAATATTTTCCAAAAAGGGTAAAAACACCTGCCATTTCCAAAATCCCATGACATTTTGTTTCCAACAAACTCTTTTCCGAAATCCATCCAATTTCCAAAACAATATCATTTAGGGTATTTCACAAATTGGGTCTTTATCACTTTTAGAAATCCATATGCAATTTTGTATACAAAAAATAGTTGTAGTAGCAAAACTATAGCCCAACAACTTTCCAATTTCACGAAACCCTCAAGCCAAAATAAAATTCCAAAATTTACCAAATGACTACAAAATATAAATAACAAAATATGCCACAAATACACTACCAAACTCATATTGAGTTAAGGAAATAAACCCTACCTCTTGAAGCGAAGAGGAGACAAGCCGAAAAAATCGCCGGCGACGAAAAGATGATCCGCTCAAATTAAATGGAAGCCCTAGTCAAGCTCTACATTTTAGTATAAGGGA